ATGGCTTTCGAACAATAGTCTAACGGAACTGAGTCCCCGTTTGTTTCGCGGTCTCACAGAGCTGAGTTCTCTGCACCTTTCAAACAACCAACTCAGCCGCCTGGACCCTGACACCTTTCTCGGTCTTGGGAAGCTCAGGTCTCTGTATCTGAGTGGAAACAATTTTACCAACATGGCACACGTAGCTCCGGCGATAGCAAACCTTCCCATTCTGCTGTACCAAGCTCTGGATTACAACCCAATTGTCTACCTTGGCCGCGAGTCCTTCCCAATGCCAATGAAGCATGTCAACTCGTTTTCTGTATCCAAGTCCCATCTTCGTGTCATAGACGAGGGGGCGTTTTCCGACGTTACATTTCCTAATCTGACTCGGCTGGAGCTTGAGCAGGACGATTCCCTGCACTTCCTGCCAGGCAATATGTTGGAGGGTCTCGACAATCTCACAACCATGATCGCGTATGGCGACCCTTTCCACTGTGACTGTCAGCTCAAGGCCTTCGTCACCTGGCTACGTGAACGAGTCAATCCACCGTACGTCAGCGCGACCTGCGCCAGTCCGCCGAGCCTTCAGGGCAAGGATCTGACGGACGTTCCCCTGGCCAGTCTGACGTGCGACTGCCAACAGGTGGCACCTCCTTCTATCGATACGAGCGGCAGTGATAACTTCACTCACGAGGGGCAGACCGCCATGCTGAACTGTAAGATCTCAGGCTGCCCCACAGCCGTGTTTGTGTGGACCACTCCAACCGGAGCCATGCTGGCTGTGGAGTCGGGGTTCCCCAGGATGGAGGTACTGAGCAGCGGCACGCTGGTGGTGACAGACGCGAGGGAGGAGGACACGGGAGTGTACACTTGTACTGCTGTCAACTACCGCGGGAAGACCAGCAAGGAAGTGGCTCTGCACGTGGGCAACAAACGCTAGTTAACCAGAATGCCAACGCATATGTAGGCCAATGAGACCTTGCACAAATGTAGGCCGCTGAGACGCCATGCATTGCTTTGCTTACACTTTACATGGTAGCCGTATTCTTTCATTGCCTCCGGCCGCGAAGAAGTGTATGTTTCATTGAATGCTTCCGTGGATTTAAGTACTTTGTCAGTAGGTAGACTGCTGTTTAGAGAAAGGTAGACTTGTTGCTTTTTAGAAAAAGGTAGATTCATGTTTGCTCCATACCAACTATGCTCTAAATTAGATATAGTTCCTTCCTAAATTCCCAATAGGATGCTTTGAAAAATTATCAACAGGAATTCCAGGCCTAGGATGTCCGAGTACTCTTACATACCAGATTCATTTTAAACGTGAAAGAGGCAGATTAAGAATCAATTAGATCCGTTTCAAATGATTCCCCGCTATTAGTGTGTTACAACATGTAATTTTCCAAAACTAGTCTCCTTTGGCAACTGAATAAACACATGTACACAATGAAGAGCTTCCTCCTTCTCTCTGACGTGTAGTCTTGACGTATCCAATATAGTTTTAAACATTGTAACACAATGGTATTCAGCACAACTATCACTTAAAGCTCTACCTGAGACTATGTCTATAGTACCAAATCTGCTTCTGTTTAGTTGACCACCTTGTTAATATATACGAGGGTAATGTCCTAAAGTGACCCACGTCATGTGCAGGTCGTAAGACCAACGTTTGTAAACATGTCAAAGTTCATTCAGGTAATGCACTCGGGAACACACGTAGACAGGACATGTAAGTATTCCAATCTTCGTTTCTTGTTTTCATGCCTTTTCAGCCGCCAGGGGGTTGTAATTCAAACTACTGGTCTGTCAAATAGCGTGTTTAAAGTGTACAATGTACATCGCAATTTTGCTAAGTATCAATTTTTCTAGGCGTATTAGATGTATTCTACAAGGACCCATTTGGGGGCGTGACCACCCCACCCCCCATTCTCTGTCGTCCGTCACGTATAACATTTTGTCGCTGGCAAAGAACTCGTTTTAGTGCATGCGCCATTCAGGACAAATCTGACTGGAGACATATCACTGCAGATGAATAGTAAGACAATACTTTCGTTCTAACATGGCGAACTACTTCAAGGTACCATCAGTAACTTTTGAAAATGAGAGGAAGCCATGACGAAGAAAGTCAACATGTTATTTAGTTAGTGCCTACCTTGTGTTTAGTTACAGTCTCAGCCATGAGGGTGTTTTGTTTCCTTCTGGCGCTTGGTGCCGCGGGCCTGTTGCCCCGTTCTGAAGCCTGCCCAAAGTACTGCTACTGTGACAGTTACCAGAAAGATGAATACTCGGTGAGGTGCAAAGGTGCGAACATAACAGCCATCCCGAGGGATATTCCAAAGAACACAACAATGTTGGATATCAGTAAGTCTCCGACATAAGTTATGTTTTGCTTTTGGCATTTACATAACACTAAAGGGTTAGTACACCATTGCAACAATTCATTAATTCCATTCCTTCCAAGATGCTTTCATGCAAGTTTTGTCGGAAAACATTGTCATTCATTGACATAAACAATATTAAGGTAACTCACAGTTTACTCACCGTGATAATCATCGGCTCGTCCCATTTCTTTAGGTTTCACCCCGATTACCATGTTACGGACAGGCGACTTCGTTGACATGCCCAAACTAAAACAGCTGAACGTTTGGTGGAACCTCAACTTGACCATAGTCGAACTGGGGACCTTCGACAATCTACCGACCATCACGTCACTCGGGCTGTTCAACAACTCCTTCACCAAGCTACCGACCGGACTGTTCGACAGCTTGAAGAACTTGAAGACGTTTGACGCTCACAACAGTAAGCTGGAGATGATCCAACACGGTCTGTTCACCAACCACCCTGCCCTGCAAGAGATCAGGCTATTCTTCAACTACATTGCTACACTGGAAGATGCCGCCTTTGGTGGTCTTCCTCATCTGACCTCCTTGTATCTCAGTTCCAACAGTCTTACGTCCCTTAACCCGTCGGCTTTCAAGGGTTCGCCTAAGTTGAAATCCTTAAGTGCTGACAACAACGCCATCACAGCCATTGGCAAAGATACCTTTGTCGAAACTAATTTTGAGGTGTTGTACCTCAGAAGTAATGAAATCAATACTATAGATATCAATGCATTCTCCCATCTGAAAGCTCTCCAGTTTGTTGCTTTGGATCAAAACAACATCAAAGGCTTAAAAGGTGTCTTTAAAGACCTTCCTCAACTTCAGTCTGTTTCCCTGTATGCTAACCAACTAACTAGCGTCGAGGGTGCCTTCCAAAATGTCCCTAAGCTGGATACACTTTCGTTGAATGGAAATCAAATCTCGAAGATCAGTAAAACCACATTCGACGGTGCCCCTGCCTTGACCTCTTTGACCATCAACAATAACGCCATCACAGAGGTTGAAAGTGGGGCTTTTCGCAACCTCGACAGACTTTTAACACTTTACATTGACCACAACCAGATTCCGGAAATCTCCTTGGCCGGGCTGCGTTCTCTGCAGACTCTCACCATTCACTCCAACAACTTGCACAGTTTCCCGAGCAACCTGGAAGATGCCAACCAGCTCGAGTACCTGTGGTTGAACAACAATCCAATCGAAGAACCACTGAATGAGCAATTTTCAGTTTTGCATAGGTATATGCCTCTCCATTATTCAATTAAAATGTCGTACTTTGGGTTGTGCTATTAACGTATAACCTTTTCTTTTTTTTTACTATTGATATTTTTATAATCACAGCTCATGTAAGGCTATATTTTTCCTTCAGGCTCTCCAATCTGTTAATGTCTAACATCACCAGTCTGAAGTTGGCGGGGACACTGAATCCAAAGGCACTATGTGGTTCTGACGCCCTTGGCGCTGTGTGGCTGAATTACAATGGTCTGACTTCAATACCACCCACAACCTTCGAGTGCACGCCGTATATATCTACAATATGGCTTTCGAACAATAGTCTAACGGAACTGAGTCCCCGTTTGTTTCGCGGTCTCACAGAGCTGAGTTCTCTGCACCTTTCAAACAACCAACTCAGCCGCCTGGACCCTGACACCTTTCTCGGTCTTGGGAAGCTCAGGTCTCTGTATCTGAGTGGAAACAATTTTACCAACATGGCACACGTAGCTCCGGCGATAGCAAACCTTCCCATTCTGCTGTACCAAGCTCTGGATTACAACCCAATTGTCTACCTTGGCCGCGAGTCCTTCCCAATGCCAATGAAGCATGTCAACTCGTTTTCTGTATCCAAGTCGCATCTTCGTGTCATAGACGAGGGGGCGTTTTCCGACGTTACATTTCCCAATCTTACTCGGCTGGAGCTTGAGCAGGACGATTCCCTGCACTTCCTGCCAGGCAATATGTTGGAGGGTCTCGACAATCTCACAACCATGATCGCGTACGGCGACCCTTTCCACTGTGACTGTCAGCTCAAGGCCTTCGTCACCTGGCTACGTGAACGAGTCAATCCACCGTACGTCAGCGCGACCTGCGCCAGTCCGCCGAGCCTTCAGGGCAAGGACCTGACGGACATTCCCCTGGCCAGTCTGACGTGCGACTGCCAACAGGTGGCACCTCCTTCTATCGATACGAGCGGCAGTGATAACTTCACTCACGAGGGGCAGACCGCCATGCTGAACTGTAAGATCTCAGGCTGTCCCGTAGCCGAGTTTGTGTGGACCACTCCAACCGGAGCCATGCTGGCTGTGGAGTCGGGGTTCCCCAGGATGGAGGTACTGAGCAGCGGCACGCTGGTGGTGACAGACGCGAGGGAGGAGGACACGGGAGTGTACACTTGTACTGCTGTCAACTACCGCGGGAAGACCAGCAAGGAAGTGGCGCTGCACGTGGGCAACAAACACTAGCTAGTGGACCAGAAGGCCTACGCAAATGTACGCAAATGAGCCCTTCCACAAGATCGCTAAAATGCCTTGCTGTGCTGACAAATAATGGCAGCCTAATTCTTTCATTGCCTACGCTAAGAAGTTTATGTTTCATTGAATGTTTCTATGGATTCAAGTGCTTAGCTTTTTGTAGATCATGAGGAATGGAATCTATATCGACAGTGTCAGAAAAGGGTGAATTGTGAAAGGGCTAAATTGTTTGGAATCCTGTTTATTAGGTTCGGCATGTAAGTCCTACTGAGGGAACAATGCTAGCTTCTGAAAGGTTGTATTGTACGTGTGCCATTAAAATTTGAAATTCACGCCACACAATGCTTACGCGGCATGATGAATGTGAAATGATCTCACCTAGCGGACGTTACGAGCACGACAGCCCAATCTTTTGCTCTGGCCGTTCTTTGACGGGGGTTAATGATCATCTAACCCCTCCGCACGAGATGGGAATATCGGGTAGGAAGAATGATGCTCTCTGTATTCAAGAAAACGTTACCGGTAGGAAGGACGCAAAGCCACCTATCCGACGGCAGCTTGAAATGAAAAGCCGTGAAAATGATTGCTTCTTTGATAAACGGATTTCAAGGCTCTATCTCCAACAGCATGCTCTGTCGTACGTATCAGATTACCTGCAAGATTGGCTCATTTTCTGGGTCAATACTTGACGCCTAGGAAATATGAGAGAAGAATCAAAATGAGTATCTACATCACTGGTGATCCTTACTATACCCAATCATCTGGTTGGTATACATTTCTTTATTGATCTTAGTAATAGCAGCGCTATTATATATAAGGCAGCTTGCAGTTCCACGAGAACGGTGCTTTTGATGACCGTATATTAAAGGCGAAGTGGGTGCTAGAACTGACTATGGCTATCAATGTGAAAGATCGTATCTGACAGCCCAGTAGAATGCATGATGTATACAGCGAAGAAGATAAATGACCTGTTTATCTATTTCGGGCGCTCGGTGTTTAAAGCATTTTTGAACCAGTGGTTACGGACCGCACCGAAAGATGAAAGAAAATGATTAATGTATAAGGGTGGCCTTTTTGGATGGGCATGAATAAAACATTACCAAATCTAATTTTGATGCCGGCACATGTTTCGGGCACAGTAAGGGCAGGTATTCGGTCCGATTAGGGGGAATGGTGATTTGGAAACAACATAAACTTAATCGACCTCGCATAGGTGTCCATGTACAGTTGGTAAATGTAAGCAGGTCACTCTTTCATTCAAGTGATTTAGCAAAAAAGGATATAGTAGACTGCTATTTGCTAAAATGATCGAACGTTCGCATGATATGACATTATTCACTAATTCAGGCGCACGTGCTTTAATAAAACGCCGGATGCTGATTTTGGCTTTGTGATCTAGCTATACCACAGCCAATCGAAAAGCCATCAACACTACATAATGTTGGGCACTAACTTATGGACGCCTACCAATCACAGTGATTTGGCTTTAAATGCAATTAGGAGAGTACAGCTATTCTGTGTGAAATGAAATTAGCGGAATTTCATTAGGCGAGCCCTTCCCCATCTTTAAGTGTTTTTTATGGGCTTGGAATTATTCAACGGCATCATCTTATAAGTCAGCGTGAGTCGTTCTCTTACTCACTCGACCTAGCGTGAGTCACGCGAAGTGAGCGTTTGTCTAAGATTTGGTGGGATCGAAGCTGTAAGGATTTTCGAGGTGCTCTCCGAGTGTCTCGTAGCTGTACATGCAGATCGTGCGATGAGTCACGGCACAGCCTCCTGTGCATCCTTTCCAGCGGCCAGCGTTTATTTCTAGAGCGCTGCTATAGCGCGGCAGTTTCTTTTCTGGGGGAACTGTTTATCCATCAAGGTTATTCGGGAAGAAAAGCTGTATTTATTCCAGAGCCCGATACGGCTCTCCCCCAGAAAAGAAACTTGAACTGCCGGGCTGGTAGAATTATAAGCGATGACCGCCAGATTAAAAACTACTGCACAGAAGGCTGTCAAACAAATAGCGGCCTTGATCTATGTGGAATTCACTCCAATTTCACTACACCAGTTGATATAACTCAAAATACAAGTCCACACAGCCTTTTTTTAATCACTTTCATAAATCCCAACCATGAAATGTATAGGGATTTGTATTATCCATTCGAATCATCACCTACCTAATCTTCAACCAGATCTTTCCGTGGCGCATGGCAAAATCGCAACCAACGGTGCATATAACGTTACATGTACATGTACATTATGCAATAGACATTGGCCTGGCCAGGCAATGTCAAGCCAGCACTGGAATGATTATGGCAACTTCAAAATATATTTCTTGCAAACTTGTCAAACCGTACGCGTTTCCCCCAATTAAGGCAACTTAGTGAACATATTTAGTACAAGCAAAGGAACATTATGTTTATGTTTGTGCTTGTGTATGGGTTTGTATGCACGAGCGCGTGTGTACCTTTGTGTGTGTGTGTGGTGTGTGCGCGTATCTGTGTTTCTCCAATCAACAACTGCGAAAGCTACATGTGGACTTTCAAGATCAGACGTGTTGTCAGTGTATGTCATCAGGTATAAGATCTGCTTGTAGATTAGCCCCTCGTGCGATTGGTATAAGGCAGTTACTGTTGTGATAGCCCCGCAGCCGTTTGAAATAGATACTGCAACCTTGGGGACGGACATGAGGTAGGGGCCAAGGCCAACCCCAGCCGTGCCATCAATTTGATCTGCAAAAGGTGTCATCAGCAGTTCACGCGATCCAATCACTCGTTCCCAGGGCAAGATGCTTATTCCCAGGACAGGGGCTGTTGCCCGGTTTCATGGGTTACACTCAGCGATAAATCTTTTTTTTTTATGACAACATGATTCGCGGGTACCTGTTATTTTTATTTGCATGTTCTGACCGTACCGTGACCCCATCCACAACACTGTCCAGGTAAACGGATCTAAGCAGATGTACGGTCCGCTACAAAGACGTGCAGAATGACGCAAATTAAACATGTACATTGTACATGCGTTTAAAGGCCATGTTGATTTGATTATATGGATGACATCCTCTGGAAACCCCAAAACCGATGCGAGCATGCGAATAAAAAAAAATTGGCAAAAAAAAGGTGCTTTCCTTATGAAATCTACGTGGTTATGATGGTTGAACAAATGATACAGAGTATGGTATGGCGAATAATCCACTCTTCAAATGCATTTGTTTACATTTTCGTCTTTTTCGTTTGGGTTTGGCATTCTACGACATTGGTATCGTTTTCCAGTACTTTTTTTGCAACGTACGTATACTTTGGCTCATTTTGCAACCGTTTCGTACGATTTACAGAATGGTTGAAAATCCTTTTTTAAATGGCCGAAAATTCATGCGCGCGCGGATGTCATCCATATAATTAATCAAATCAGCATGGCCTGTAATACGGTGACCAAGTCGGAACTTACATCTGCTTGTAGAATTAAAAGCTATGTGGACACAAACAAGAAATGTTTGATCTCCATATCGATGTAAGCAGTGTCTATTAAAAACAAACAAACAAACAAACAAACAAACAAACAAACAAACAAACAAACAAACAGGTAATATGTATTCTTATATAACGTCCTTACTGGGAAGATTTCTCTATTTCAGATCGCCACAAGCCTTCCTGGTCCATACGTTACCGATTATATAAACATAATATTAACGTTATATCATTTTCGCGACGAAAATGAATCTGTTGGCATGAAAGGAAGAACCTTTGTTATCAATGCCAGGGAGGATATCAAGACCCTGTGTGGGTATACAGATCTATAGTTTTAGGTCGATAGTTATTTAATCACTTTCTCTTGTGTTTCTTCTTCTCATATATATGATATATTCTAGCTTCTCTTCTGTTTACGTCTTTACTGGGAACGATTTCCACATTTCAGATCCCCAGCAGGCTTCTTGGTCCATACTTTACTTTGCATTTCTCCTGGTTTTCCGATTTTTAAAAGGTCATTTAACGTTAACGTAATTACGTAACTAATGACGCTGATCATATTCGGATGATGACGTCAGGATGACTGTTGTTCAAGTCAGTGACTCAGGCCCGCCACGCCGACCGCTGCTGGTTTCAGGTCAGCTTTCCCATGGATATCGGAAGAAAGATTGCTTGGAGTGCTAAGGACGGCATAGGTGAGATTCCAGAACAGTCTAAACATCCTGGCACGCAGGGGGTGCGACCGTCTGGCTGCCCAATCTCTGCCCCCAAAGGGATGACTTTTCCAGGTGGAATTTCCCGCCACCCGGTTCAAATCATCCACTCATAATGCCATTTGACAGGAGAGAATCACGTGATCAGTTTCGAAGGGTCTAAAATGTAACAGGGGAGCTTCGTATTTTTTATTTGAAATATTTTGGTCATAATTCAGATTTGTTGGTAAGATTTCTCTTAACCTATATTAGACTTATGAAATGATCGTATTTTCTCTTGACTGTAGCATGTCGTTAGAAATTTCGTTTCGGCGACACCCCCTTGACCCCCACTTGTTTTTTTGCAGCGACCTCCAGCGTTTTGAAGGCACAAAGATGGCGGGCAGGGCGTTCATGCAGTTATCGGCAGTACTCGCGTTTCTGGCCTCTTTTCTCGTCCTTCTTGTAGGTAAGTGCAAGATTCGTATTAACGGTGACAGAGAAGTATGTCTCGGGGTTAAGCCATGTTGATTTTTTCGATCAGTGTAGGTCGTGGAGGCGCGGTATCGGTGGTTGAAAACGTTGTTGTACTACGCTGTAGCTAGCGGGTCGTGCGCGCGGCTGTTGTCGCGCGGTGCGATGCGACTCATGAATTTCAAATGACGTTTTATGGGGATAATGCCATCGCAATCGCCTCCTCATATTTACTAAACACTGCCAAACGCTTGCACAGTTGATCTGAGTAAATCCCTCAGCAAATATCACACTAGAGTGGCACACAGAGATTTCGTCCTCTCCCGTTTTTATATTTTCCGAGTGTGGAGGGAGGGATGCGTGGAGGCGGGGAAGCAACATGTCAGGAAATTTCAGGGATGGTGGATTGGTGAGGAGATTGTGATGAATGTTTCCCGCAAATCGCGCCATCGCATCGCGGCCTTGTCTGAACTTCTAGCGAGGATGCCAGGGTATCATTTTGAGGTCACTTCTGTCTAAGTACGTCGGGTCACCCTAAATGGTACTAGTAGATGAAAGGACGTAGTAGGGCGATCTGTCAAAGAGAGGGCACGTCTGTTTTGCATATGTGAAAAGGAGAAAATTGCAGGAAAGAAATCCCTAAAGGGATGGTGCTGAGATAGTGTGTAGCAGTCAGCACCCCAAATTGGGAATGCAGGGCTGGGAGGGAAAATTTGGTATTTGTGGACCATCACATTGCATCACAAGGCTCCGCCTATGATGTGCGTAACAGTTGTATTGATCGGGAACGTCAAAACCATTGCCGCGGACCACACAATCTTGTTGGTCGATGCCGAATTCGGCGGCCTCCGGGCGACCAATCAATTGCCAAATTGGCAGCCTCCCGCATGTAGAAATTTATCAGGAATTACCATAAATAATGCACAAGCGGGGTGGAACGACTCAGTTCACTGCTTAATGTAATTGCGGAATGATTCCATATTTCTTGGCATTGTAATCCGAAAATCTTCATCAAGTCTCATTCCGTCGCCGTGCCAACCAGAGCGTGGATGTCGATTTCGTTGCAGCTCACGTTGGCCGAGGGGAGTCATTTCACTAAATGGCGTCCCTGCAGTTTTCTGTGAGAAAAGGAACTCTGCTGTGAAGTGGCTTATTTTCACCTAGAGATGTTAGAGTTTTGTAGTCCTAGTTCTAGTTTGGACACAGTGGCCGTGGTTTTGTTAGAGAAGTGTGATGATAATGTGCAGATGCTATTGGAAAATGCCAGCATGATAGCATGCCTCACTGGGACCAGGCTTAGTCCCACCGGTATAAATCAACCTTCCAAATCAACATGTAAATTCAAGGTTAATCCTGAAAGTTGCTTTGCAGGATGAACTTGATATTATCCTTCATCACATTGTAGGTTCTTAATCCCCTTGCCTGGCGTAATAACAGCATTGGAAGGGAGGTAAATAATAGATAAGCGGACCGCTTTGACAGGTAGAAATCTGCTGTGCGGTCATGGTATCGTTAAACGACGTCTCGCGTGCTGCGGCAAGATAGAAAGCGATGCTCACACATTTGTTACCTACCAGGTAACCAGTTCTGGCAGTTTTTCTTGTCTGGTTTTTTTTTTTTTGCCTCTGGCATTTCTTGTAAGTTCTAGTCACAAGCTTTGACATACACAGTCCAGATGTTAAAGCCACACGTCAACTTGACCTTGTAGTTCGAGGTCAATCCATATCTGGGGAAACATGTAATCATAGCCTTGAATCTTGTCCAATATGGTCCACGTAAACATTTATTATGATGAAAGGTGCAACATGTTTGTTTCATTCCTATGCCAGCATGACTACATGCAACCTTGTAGAAACAGGAAGTTTATGTTGTAATTAGAGTACGCCTGAGACCACATGAAAAATAGTCCTTGCCCCCACACCCCACAGTGTGCTGGTGGTTGCTACTACAGTTGCATTGTCCCAGCCCAGAGGTTTTTGTTATGGACCCTGTCTACTTTGACATTAACCTAGATGTCTTAATCTACCTCTTATCAGTAATACTTCTAGATTGAAAAGTTCACCCTGTATGGTTCTTATCAGTAGGTATATCTTGAAGACATATTACAGCTGGCGATGTCAGATCTAGATGTTTGTGTATGTCACAGAAATGACACCAGCACATTAGGGGACCATAACCAGATCTGTAATGTTATTCCAGTGACCGGGATACCTGCGACCATGAACAGATAACCACAGTTTACAGTAAACAGGATATTTTGGTCAGTTCAGATAGACCTATAATTAACTTCTTGGGGGTCGGCGATTATAGGTTGGCAAATTGTACTTTCCTTTGTCCTGTCACTCTCAGCATGTGAGGGCCAGTTGTCCTTTTTGTCCTGAGGGCATTCCCTAACAGACATGATGTCATTTTGTGATATGGCAGATAGGGTCATAGGCTATTTTAGAACTATTCACTGGGCCAAACAATGCCTATGGCCAGACCACCAAAGATCACTGAGTAGAAAACTTTTGTAATTTTGCCATAATATATGGAGGAATGATATCTATATGCAAAATGTTCAGATGAAACGATGTTGTCACAAAGTGTAATATGCAAAATATTAGAAGTGCACATCCACTGAGAGAAAGTGGATTTCTGGGTTGTTTATATAGTGCGGTGCAGGGATTTCATTCATGTAGCTTTAGGGGACAGGAGTTATAAATGATTGATGAGTTTGCTGTCCCAATTACACCAGAATTGTTGTAATGTTACATACATGTTACAGAGAAAAACAACTTTGTTTGGCCCCTAATATTCTACATTTTACTGTAGTAATATTTCTGTCATCACAGAGGTAAGACAAGAAAAAACAACTTTGTTTTGATAGTCTGTGAAAATCTACATTGTATACTGTATTGTTAGAATATTTCTCTGTTCATATTGTAACATGTATAGAAAAACAACTTTCTTCTATTGATTGTTACTGAAATTCTAATATCTATTGTAAGAATATTTTTCTACTTTAAAAATCATGCAGATTGCTATTAGTGGGTTTTATTTTATAGCCCTATAGGAAGAAGAAGTCAGACTTCTACAGTATGTAACATGTCAGGAGAGGAAGACCTTGCCAAAAGCTGCTTGTTACCTTAAAACATACACATCTGACCTTCGCCAGGGTTGCAGCCTCAGCTGCCCTATTCAGCACTAAAGTAAACATCACAGTGAGGAGACAAGATGTAAAAGGACACGGCCCACTTTACCTACAGCTTGAACTAATGCACCCTGTCCTGGGCCTTTCATACAACTCTATTCACCCTGGGCACCTCGGTGACAATAGTGAGAGCTAACACAAGAAAAAGAACATCATAAATCGGTATTGTGATGCTTCAAGCAGACACAAGGAGTTCAGAAGGCACCGTATTCTGTGCAATTTTCACGCTGGCACTGACTTTTTGGTATCTGCTGTTTACAGTTGAGCTGAGGAAGCTGATATGTTTTGGGCAGATGGCCACGCTGTCGGCCACTGTGGTGGTGTCACATTACAACTCATGATATTTGCATGTGTAGTGTGTTATCTTCATGTTCCACCTTGAAGTAATGCCTGTTCTTGGTCCATAACTATTCCACAGTCAAGAATTATGTGGTGAAACCAAACTCAACCCCTTGGGGCGGTATAGAAAGTAAAAGTGGGTGGTTTAAGAAGGTGGTACAAGGAGAATTGGGACTTGTCATTAGTGTTACCAATAACCTTTATTATCAGGAACACAGTTGTGAGGAATCAATACCACTAAATGTGTCAGGAGGACTATTCATGCACCCAGTGGTGTGTATTCAGTTAGCTAAAATGTGTCCACTCAACTCTTCGATTATTTGAACTGATTGGGTCAAGGCAATATTGGTACTATGATAAGTCTGTTTGGATAATTAGGCTAGAAGTAGAGGTAGAACTCTGTGAAATACACAAGACTTACAAAAGAAGGCAAAGAATATGTAAAAGAATTGAATAATGCAACTAGAAGATTCAAAGATACGTTGTACATGTACTGGTAACAGGGCCACAAGGTTATCTTTTACTTCCAAGCACAGTCCTCCCCCCCCCCATATTAATGCAGCTACAGTCATCACTTGACCTGTATTTGCTATAATGACCTTCCATTTTCTATGTTTAAACATCAATCTAGAAAAAAACATCATGCGGCAATGGGAGAAAATCCAAATGTAATTACACAGCTTTTATAGCATGCAATCGAATTTCTCTCTCCACTAGACAGATTGTTCCCTGTCCATTTCTTTTCCTGTCATGTCCAATGCTCATTTATTCAGATGAGTAAATCAGTGTCATTTGTAATAGTGTTAGGGCAGGGGTGTTGGTGATACACGATGAAGGTAAAAGGCCATTTTGGGAAGCTCCTGTTGTTTGGGGAGACTTATATTATATGCATGAGGGAAGCTGGCTGGAATCCATCCCGTTCAATCTTTGTTAAGTGAAAGACGTCCAATATCTAGGCCCATCTGACCTTGCGTGGGAAAATGCTGCGGACATGACAGCCTTTGTCTCAAA